GGGAGGGGGGGAGTTAGGAGAGGGGAGGTTTCTCAGCACCAAGTTGAGAATAGTGGTGACAGTGAGGTCTTCAGGGCACAGCACCCACAGCAGGTCCAGGTAGGGGTCCAGGTCTCTGTGCTGGGCCACCTCGCACAGCAGAGTAGTGAAGATCTCCTTGTTGAGCAGCGGACTCTGTTTGCAGAACTTCTGGGCGACCTGCGTCACCCGCTCCCACTGCTGCTTGGCCATGAGGACCCTCAGCGCCTGGAGGATGGCGTTGGGCCGCCCGCTGACCAGCAGCAACTCCACCTCCAAGTCCTGATGCTGGTCTCTGTCCAAGCTCAGGCTGGACAACACGCACAGGGCTCGTTTGTAGAGCGGGACGTTGTTCTCCCCGCCCTCTCCTCCTCGCCCGCCGGAGAAGCCCCAGGAGGAGGAGGCCAGGCTTAAGCCCAGACCGGCTGAGCCCTGCTGCTGCTGGGCGAGCTCCAGGAATCTGGGCAACCAGCTGGGCTGGAAGTGGAAAACTGAGTGGCAGAGGAGCTCGAACACGGGGAGGGGGGCAGCGGGGGGAGCAGAGCTCGTAGGTTTGGCTTTACAGTTTACGGCAATGTGATCACCTTTGAGGCTGTGATTGTGCTTTGACCTGCCATTGGTGAACGGGAGGGGGGTTGCGGCGCCGGCTGTCACAGCAGGACTGAGGACAGTTTTCCAAATGTCCGCAGGAGCCCTGCTGGAGAGAGACCCCTCCCCGTTGTAGTGTAGCTGAAGGGCAGCCTGCGCCGCCCTCCACGCCTGGCGGGGGAAGATGTTGAAGATGGAGTTCAGGTAAAGCAGAGACTCTTTAACCGGCTCTGAGGTTGACAGCAGTCTCGTGACCTCTTTCTCCACCAGGCTCTCGCACACCGCCTCCACCTCCTTCACACTCGCCCTCACTAAACCGCCCTTCACCTCCTCCAGAGAGACCAGAGCCTTCAGCTCAGCCTCCAGAGAGCCCATCAGCTTATCCTGTCCTGCTGTACATCCCCCGTTCTGGGACGGCTCTGCTCCTTTCGGCCTCGACCCCGCGCTGAGGTAGTTCCTGAGGATGGAGGCTAAAGAGATGGGAGCCTGGAACCGACCTCCTTTCTTCAGCGTGTCCACAGTGAGCTGGGTGCTGCTCAGGCTCCTCTGCTGGTAGTATTTACAGGCTTCCTCGAAGACCGCCTCTACCAGGAGGGCTCCTGGGCGAAGAGTCTCCACCGCGCTGGAACCGGGAGGCTTCACCTTAGAGTCTCCGGAGTCCGTCTCCTTGTTCACTAAAACGAAAAGCCCGGTTTCCGTGAGCAGGTGAGGGGTGCGACCTTCAGCCCGGTTCACGTATAACAACCCGTCTCTCTTCAGCGCGGCGTGCTCCAGCTCTCTGCCGCAGTTCACGTCGATCAGATGCAGGTTTTGTCCCACCAGCAGCGCCAGGGTGTCCTCGTACGCGCAGAGGCTAGTGCGAGTGCCGAATTTCGTCAGGCAGTTGTCGGGCAGCTTGTACACCTGCCGCAGCATCCCGTCCTTCTGCAGGAGACACACCCAGCCGGTGCTGAGCAGCAGCAGCAGGCCTCCGCAGGCGGCGGGGGAGAAGTCGTAGATCTCCGGCGGTTCGAGGGTCGATAGATATCCCAAACAGTCCGTCACCAACCTCTTGAAGTCAGACTCTTTGGCCGAAAGCCTTTTCAGGGGAGTGTTCATACACGTGGTGCTGACCGTGAAGGAGTCGTGGCGCGGGGACCAGGAGAGGAAAAAACTGGAGATCAACAGAGGCTTCACCTTCAGGTCGGGGAGAAGATGGACGTATTCGCCGGAGCTCACCACGGTGAACTTGGGGTTGTTGTGGAGGGCGATTTTCACGCCACCCAAGCTCACGGCCCCCTCCTCCACCTCGAAGTCACGCCTGCACACACAGTACCTCAGCTTGTTCCTCGTGGAGCTGAGGGCCGGGGAGCTTTCTGAAGGTGGCCTCTCCTCGCACCAGATGATGAGGTTGGAGCAGGCACAGACGGACACCACTCTCGCTCGGGGGCTGTTGCACAAGTCTGATGTTTGTAGGAGATGCCAGCCAGATTTGCACTCGTGGAACTTCCAAAACTCAGCTTTTCCATCCTCATACACCACCGCCACAGCTGCTGCGTCTCTGCTGCTGCTGCTGCTGCTGTTGTTGTTGTTGTTATTATGGTCCAGGTATAAAACATCCACCACAGGCACGCTCCGGGTCGGCCACAGATCCAGCTTCTTCTGGTTCTGGCCCAGCTGGGGTCTTTCATACTTGTCAAAAGTCACAAGACCCACCTTAGGCTTGCGGAGGATAACGTGGATGTGACGTCCATCTGGGCTCAGGCGCACGTTTGACAGGCAGTTTTTGAGCTCAACCAGCTCTTTACCGCCAGTATAGTCCCCGAAATCTGACAGTGGCTCCAACACCAACCGCGCCATAACTCCCCGTTTTCCAGACTCGACTGCGGCTTAATTAACTTGCCACAACGTATGAACTATGGCACATAAATCTGATCCGGACAGGCTAACCGGACGGCATCCCGTTAAGGCTCCTACGACAGGCGTTCATCCCGTTGCGGAAGGATACATCCTCCGACAGCCTTCCAGCCCGCTGACCGCATTACAACGGAGCTAAACTGTTAAGCTGACGGTTAATGGTTGAATAATTTCTTTTTTTTAAAGCCCAACTCGAGAAAGCCACTGTAGTCATTCCGGTGCTACGGCTAGCACTCGCCTGGCATCACGGGATTGTTAATTTCCGGATACCGACGGTGTTTTAGCATAAGAGGCGGAGCGACACGAAGGCTGGACAAAGATTGTGTGAGGGGCGGAGAGAGAGGCAACTGTCGCCGCACGTTGGTCTCCAGTCAGCTGGTACGTTTGTAACCATAACAACCAGGGTTAAGCATCTCGACATCTTTGCGTTGGAAATTTAAAATTAACTAACTTAAACATATATATGTCCTTCAGTCTAAATGTAAAATGTGTTCGATAGGGAGGAGATATCACCTGCTTGTTACTCAAGCGCTCGTATGTGAATATAAAACCTCTTTACACCCTTTTAAAAGCAAACCATTTTGACATGAAACAGTAGGTTAAAGTTAAACACAGGTGTTGCCAAGATACTAAACAGGGTTCCGTTCCATTCAGGTCAAACAGAGTCTGGGTGCTGCTGTTTGGCTCAGTGGAAAAGCTCTGCTACACTAAATGGAACAGAACCTTAATTAGAACTACTCCGTTCTTCTGCACAGCTTTCTCTTCTTATCTTTCTTATCTTTATCTATTTATATTTTGAAAGTACTTTATTTTTCTGGGTGTTTTTTGTGTGATTTGAATAATTGTATATTTGTATATTTGTATTTGTATATGTGTATATTTTATGCACAACTGCCAGGCTCACATTCTCGTTAGGCGTAAAAACCTACTTGGCAATCAATAAAATTCTGATTCTGATTCAAAAACCTGCCTGTTGTGTCCATTTAAGTGGAGCTGATGAATGAGTAATGTAATTCTAACTGACTCACATTGTTTGTTATCTGATGATAAAACTAATACTAGGAACTGAAACCACAGTTGTGCATACAGTATGCTATCACTAGCAATGCTGACACAACAAAAGAGAGTTTTTCTTCTTAGGTTCAGCTTGTTAGAGTAAGTTTTCTTTTATTCATTAGCATCTTTTAAAAAAAACGTGTGTACATTTATTGTTATTGTTGCCATCTACAGTTCTGGAAACTTCTTCTTGAAGTTCTTGATTTTCATTCAGTTCGTTATGTGGTGTGAGTTCAATTGGATGTAGCTTGCTTTAATTAGTCAGTGATTTGTAGATATATGTAATAGCATTCATTGTTTTCCCCCCAACAGTCGAAAAATGCACACAGTTTTGGCAGTGTTACATGCTTATATATATCTATCAAGATACTGAACCGCTTTCCCATTGAGCTTCAGGAATTAACCTCGAACTCTGACCTCTCAGCAGACAAACAATAAGAGCATGTCACTTTGGGGATGAATGAAATTGCCCATTTTGTTTAAATAAGCCTCAAGTTGTTGGATAATTCAAATAAAACTGCACAAAGAATGCAAAGATGTGCAACAATGCTGCTGCTGTTTGGCTGAAAACAACTTGAAAGTCGCAGTAGGTGAGTTGAAAACAACATCTAGACAAGCACGCATGAGGAACTGTGCTAATTTCCTTATCTGCTTTGACAGCATACTTTAAGGGATGTTTTTTTAAAAGCTAACTCATACAGTGTAACTATGGAAACCAGCTTTACCTCCACAGATCTGGAGGCAAGACTCCGACTTAGAAACCGAGAAACTGTTCCAGTACATCCTCGTTTGTTTTGGCAAGAGGCTGTGAAAAGGGTGGCTGGTCAGCTGGGTTAATACCAACCTGAGACACTGACTCACTTAAATCAGCTTCAGGAATAAGAGACATTCTGCTTCACACCACAGATGTGATTGCAGGAGGATTTGACAAGTGATGTTGGTCAGGCTTAGATGAGTCTGTAAAGGACAGCCTGGTAGGCGCGCCAACCAACATAGCATGCAGAGGTAAAAACACTCTTTTTTTTTAGGAAAATAACATTTATTACAATGGGAGTGAAATGCTCAGCGGCGATGACTCACAGTGTAAGTGGATGTCCGCCCACTGTGAAGGCCCTGGTTAGTACTTTCAAGGCAACTTTCAAGTTAGGCGCTTTCACGTCAGCCCACACTGTGAAGCTGTGCTGGTAAATGACACTGTACTGACATTTAGATCCTTTAGACAGACGAAGGAATCTGCCATTTGGCTGGCAGAAGTGCGCACCAGTTAGGAATGTGTGGTAGATATTGGATTTGATAAATTATATTTACTCTTGGCAGCATGTAGAGGCTAACTCAAACAAGTATGAGAAGGTGCCAATTACATTTCCTTTCCTTTATAGAGAGTACAGCCAGCAATAAATGTTGTGTGTTGTGACTTGTTGTCCTTGGTTTGTCTACATCTTCTTACCAGCACAGGTAGTCCGAGAAAACTCACTTTCTTGTCATTTTAGAAATCATAATCTCAACAGAGATCTCTTTTTTTGTCTGTTACATATACACCCACCACTGAATGAGGACACCAGTGATGAAGTTAAGGATGAGTTTGCCTGTGTTTAATGATATTAAATAAATTAGCAGACCAGCTTGTGATACCAATAACGTAATTAAATCATGGAGAAGTTTCCGCTGTCTGACTGCCTCATACTTGGCACAAGCCTTTTGCTGACACATCTTGGTTGCATTTTAACAATGTAAAAGTGAAACTGTATACCTTATTCAATATTCTCTGCTAAATATAGATCACTGGATCAGTGAAACAAGTACTTGAAGTTTGTTGCTGTCATGTTTATAAGTTCGCTTCTCATCCAGGAGGAGGCAGTATTGATCTTCACTCACTGCATGTGGGTGATTTAAAAAAATAATAAAAATATCTGTGAAGTGCTCACTAGGGTAGATGTTCACAGATTGATGTTTTTCATTGTTTCTTCTTTTCCCTGTTATGCTGGGTGCCATAATGCTTTGAATCATACTCTAAAGCGCTACAGACAACACTCACTGTTGTTTTTCAATGAATATCACATGGATATACACACCCAGTATCACAAGGCTGCTGCCTTCTCTCACCCACAGTTAGCTTTACTTTTCCATTAAATCTTATGACTTTCATTGTTTCTGTTTTACCTCACTGCTTCTGGACAGTTCAAGCTGCCCAGTAAAACCTGCAGTGTTGTGTTGGCGGCTGTGGGTGTCCCCTGAGGGCTGCCTCGAGTCTTTTGTGAGGGATTTTTTAATTTACTTTTCCACCTTCATTTCCCGGTTTAAGGATTCAAACTAATTATTTTGTGGTGATTAAAGCTGCCTGGTTTAGCCATTTTTTCCCTTCAAATCCGCACGTTCTTTATCTACTCTTCTTTTGAAATTTGCTAGTTCTTTTTCAACTTTCTCTGACCTAACTAGCTGAACAATTAATGAGTTTCCAAGGTGTTTGCTCATTCAAAGCTGCATGGTACTTTTCATGTTTATAGCTCTCATTTATTTATTTATCTAGGCTGTCTGTATTATTGTGCCAGAACACACTTTAAGGGAGGCAGCCTACCACTTCATGTGTGTCCGTGTATTTATGTCCTATTATGTCTCTGTGTCATTGCTGATAAAGTATATGGAGGCAGTATGTTATGCAAACAGTAGACTCAAGCCCTGCTGCCTCCAGTCAGGCTTGCCTTGGACAGAAAACACCCTCTATTAGAGAGTGTGTTTAGTCTGCTGTGCCTGTAGACAGGAAGATAAAGTGCTTGTCTGAAGACTAGAGGGGGTTGGAGGCAAGGGAGATTTCCTTTTTGAGTTATATGGCGTTAAACAGAAAACCAATGGCTGCAGGATTTTGCTACTCAGGGTAAAGAAGATGGGTAGGCTGTCAGCTTTGCATTCCCTCAGGAGAGAATTATTTTAATTTGAGCACAATTTAGAAAAAGGAAATGTCTCTATGTGCATGTGTGAGGAAACAAAGATATTTTCAGTCTGTTTGGGGTTTGAGTGAGATGCTACTTCTCTGTATCCGTGTGTCAAATGAAAGTTACAGCTGCCTGTCAGCCTCCTGTCTCCTGTGAGAACAGGCAGATATTACAGTCAGTTTGCTCTTGCTGTTGTAAAGCTGTCATGTGTACAGCCTCTCTCTCACTATATCTCCCTTTCCTTCTGTAAGTCACTTCACTGGAGCATTTTGTCTTGGGCTTCAAGGGTCTTTCTTTGACTCTGTGCTGACATACAGTATAGCATTGTGTGAGGTGAAGTCATCCATCATTTTTTTTTCTTCATCTTCTCATCTTACATCTTTTATAGTCCTATCAGATAAAAAACAATAATAAAAACATCACAACTGAAGAGGAGGAATGATGGTGATTCATAAGAACTGTTCAATATTACTGAAAACTTTCTTTCATTTGAATAAGTTCATCATATTCTAGTAAAACAAAACTTTTTTTATATTCTGTTTTAATCTCCTTGAGTGGCATTGTTTTAAAACTAGACACAGGAAATTGCCAGGTGTTTTAGTATTGCTGTGCTAGGCAGAAAACAGAGATGACTAATTGCCAAGAAACGCCAATGAAATAAAGCAAACAATCTTGAAAATTTAATAACCACACTGCTCCTCAGAAATCTATAAGAGAATTGTTTATCATCTGAATTTCTTAATGGCTGAGGGTACTCCAGTGGCTGGAAAGCCACATTTATTCCTCTGCAGAGCTTCATTTCCGACACTGATGGAGTCCTTTAAGCAGTAAATAATTTTCAGCTAGATTATATCCTAACATCCAAGTGCATATATCTCAGCAGCGTCTCTACAACATTGACTGCATAATGGATTTGTACGAGCACCAGGAGTGGCAATTCATGACAGACTGTCGGTCCCGGAGTACAGAGAGGAGAGATGATGCAAAGAGAGGAGGAGGATGTTTAGCGGTTCATTAGGAAGACAAACAGACTTGTAGATAAATGAGCTATGACTGCCTATATCTTCAGCCGAGATGACTGAACAATAACAAGCTGGATGAGACAGCCATTTTGAAAATGTTATCAGCCATTAATTTGGCGTAATGAAGAAAGTTGGTGTTTGACAGACAAAAAAAAAAAGGCTGTAATGAGAATATCCCAGAATGAGTGGAATCCTTGAAATGAAACTTCGTCAAATGAACCACAGTGAGAAGTCACAGCAGTGCTGAAATGT